AGAGATAATAGAAAGTGATATATAAATGTTTAAATACATGCATATGTATATACGAGGGCGGTCCGATAAGTACTTAGCCTACAAAAGAAAAACGAAAATTTTGGAAAAGTGGCGATTTATTTCTCAACATAGTCTCCTTTTAGCTCGATACACTTGACCCAGCGATGCTCCAACTTCTTTAACCCATCTGAAAAATACGTTTTCTCGAAGTCTGCAAAGGCCTCCGTGGCGGCGATGACCTGCTCATTCGACTCAAATTTCTGCCCGGCGAGTGACTTTTTCAAGTTTGGAAACAAAAAAAAGTCGCACGGGGCCAAATCTGGAGAATACGGTGGATGGGGCAGCAGTTCGTAGTCCAATTCGACCAATTTGGCCGAATGAGGAGGTCATCGCCGCCACGGAGGCCTACTTTGCAGACTTCGAGAAAACGTATTTTTCAGATGGGTTAAAGAAGTTGGAGCATCGCTGGGTATCGAGCTAAAAGGAGACTATGTTGAGAAATAAATCGCCACTTTTCCAAAATTTTCGTTTTTCTTTTGTAAGCTAAGTACTTATCGGACTGCCCTCGTATATTTCGAATATTGCTATAAATTATGAACTTTGTACTGCAAAATGACCAATAACAATTCTGAAATTTGTGTATAATGTGTATGTATTAATCTTTAATATCATAATAGTTTTTCATTAAACCTTATTTTTAATACAAAAGATATTAAAACTAGAATCGAAAAATAACACGGAAAAATAACACGGAAACCTCAAGAAACAAAAAATGTCAGAGTTGCAAATATTTTAATTCTCGTCGACCTCCTAATTGCACGAGCAGTTGGATAACATTTCAATGTATACTCAATGTAAATTTCATTGAATTCTCATCAAATTCATTTCAACTTGCTAAGAAATATGAAGGCGAACACACTCAATTCTGCTAATGGAAATCGAGCCCGGCTTCGTTGCAACGCGCCGCATCGGTCACGATTGCGCGCGTATTTTTCCCCATTTATGTTCATCGGGAGAAAAAATGTAGTCCCGATCCCAGATTCTCCATTGTGCGCTCGCCTGTAGCTCTCTGTTGTTGGCGTCGCACTTGGTACATAAACTTCACTTCGGCGTCCGGTTTTCCCCCCCCCCCCCCTCCTCCCCCCTTCGTCTACTTGCTCACTATTCGAACAGCATTCTGGATAACAGTGTTCGTAGTCTCCATTCTGCTGGGGCGTTCGAGATAGCGAGTAGAATCGCGAACAATGCTTCCCGGGGAAGCCGCTATGTCCACGTCGACGAGAAACGTCGTGATCCGAATTGGTAGTGTTATCTATTCATTACGAAGTGACTTGACGTAATCGGCTCGGGCCGTCGATGGCGGGCTTAACGTGAATACACGGTCATTTTAAGGCGAAGTTAATTTCGCGAAAACCGCCGATTCGTCATCCCGATGATCAGAAATCAATTCGAGACTCGAGAAGCAGAGAGTCGATCAAACGTCGGTGCCGAAATGTCTCTCTCTCTCTCTCTCTCTCGTGGTTGACTTTACGGTGCGTTCGTGGGAATACACTTACTTGTACGAGCGCAACATCGATCGATCGCCGACGCCAGTCAGCGCGACGCCGTCTGCGGAGTGCGCCGTAAATCCGCGGAAACGATTTCTCCTACTTTAGAGTCCCGCTTTATTCGCGGAGACAAACAAGCGCACCCCCTCATTGTCATTCCGCGTCTCGCGCTTATTAAAAATAGAGGTGGCGCGTGAAAGATGGAGAAGTAAGGAGAAAGACAGAGAGGGAGAGAAAAAGCGTTTAGTTTTCCTCGCTCATTAAACCCGTACGGACACGCGAGTGTTTGCACCACGTGTGTTTGCACCACGAGTGTGCAAATTAACTGAGCAATAATCAGCGTCGAACGCACTCACGGGAATCCTTACATAGCTGGGAGAAACAAATATGACGCTTGAGGTAGAAGTACTAATGCCTGGATATGTAACTCTGGGCATTCTTATTGTTTTGATCTTTAAGTGTGAATATTTAAACTTTTAATCTAGAAAAATATAAAAGAAAAGATTAGTGTATTACGGCTCCTCTTAATATCTCGACTATTAGATGGAGAATTCTAGCGATTACTTATGGAATCATTGATTTAGTAATGGCACTAAAATGTCAAGATACAATAGCCAGCATTTGTTGTAACGCACTTTTACTTTTACTAATTGTTTAATTCTCAATTTGAAATTTAGATCGTTGACAAGGTTATTGTACAAAATGTTCGTAGAGGGCCATTATACCACCTTGTCCTCTACGCACGTTGAATATGTACATATATTCTATTTCAAATAAAAGTTGAAATAAAAAGGGTAAAATGTTCACACTTAAAGACCGAAATAGAAATAATCTCGAAAATTAGATACACGCCCGGGTATTGGAACTTTGACTCGCTAACGATGCGCCGGGCGCCAAAGATAAATCTTGGCGGAGAGTTTTGAGCGGAAGCACGCGTAAGGCTAATAATAAATTTCCGCTTTAACGCGGTAATGACTCCGAACGCCCGCACTGCGGCGTTAATTTAGGCGCCGTCGTGCGAAAACGCGCGCGTGCGACCTTTCCCTCGGCCCGGCGCGATTAGATAAGGAATTTAATAACGGCGAACGGGAGTAGCGCCGGCGGTGGCAGATCGCGCCCAGGGACGTAAAAATGCAACGACCGCGCCTCGTGTGTACGATGTAATAAACTACGTCATGTTCGCGCTCGTCGATTATTACAGAACGGAGTCGTCGTCGGGTTTTCGTCCGTGCGGGAGGAGAAAAGGGGGAGCACCAGTTCCCGGTGACGTTCTTCTTCTCCTACCGGGCGCTTGGTAACGGCGCGTACGCGCGCGCGGACGCCCGGAAAGGTCAAACGGGGTTCCTGACATTTTCCCGTTCTATCGAAATTGGGTTGCGCCGTAAATCCTCCTCCCAGGATACAGACCGAAGTAGGTCTTTCGAGCATTAAGCGAGAGAACCCGCAACTAGCCGGGGCCGCCGATGTCGACCCTTCCGCGGCCGATTAAAGCGATCGGCCGCTATTACGCGTTTAGAATAACAGGGAGATGTATTGTTCGCCGCGAATTGCGCAGCCCAAGTGCGCTCAACAGCTTTGACCAGCTCCGAGGCGACCCTGGGACCGTTAATGGATCGCCCTCTGGGAGAGATCCGTCGACTATTGCCTCATCCGTTGACACCTCCTCAAACCGTAGCTCAATATTGCGACATAATTCGCGCCTAAAGTCCAGCTCAGGGATCTCGAAGCGCGAGTGTACCGTAGGACCGACTCGTCGACCGAACAAAACACACTTCCTCCGTGCCGCCGGATCGGGAATAATTAACTCTCGGGCCGAGCGAAGTTAATTGCTACGATATCCGCGCGCGGTCGGGGCACGTGGCGTGTTTTTCTGTGTTTCATCATGAAACTGTCGACGTTTTTTTACGTTTCTTCTGTGTCCGCGATATCGCTTCGACCAACTGGGGTGTGGCGACCTGCTGATCGATACTATAAAAAGGTCGCTTTAACGTCTATGCAATACTGATGGGCAACTTGTGTGTGTATGTGTGCATATCGTGCGACGAGCGTTGCGCGAAACTACGCGAAGACGCCACGTCGTTCGCTTCATCTTCCAAAGTGCATCTGTCGCGCCGTAACGCGAGACGCAGCGGTTGCATGATCGCGCAAAATGAGGAGTTGGCAAACTTTGCCGGTGTGTCATGAGCGCACTCGCTACGTTAACTCTTCCGGTCGTGGTCGAATTAATTAACGCCGTTGAGTTCCCGACGGTCAGCAAAGTTTGGTTTAATTATCCTTTTTTTTAATTATTCTTTTTATTCATTAATCAACTTTTCATTTAATTATTCTTATTACTCTGACTGGTAATCACTTATCAATTTTAATTTGTTGACCTATTTCTTGCTCATTCATTTCAATTTTTATCCACATGTGATATAATATATAATAATTTAATCATGTTATTATTGGCTCATCTTCATTATTATCATTAATATTTGTCGCTACTGTTTTTGTTTTCTTTTTACTTAATGATCTGTCGTTATATCGTTATGTATTCACTCCTTTTCTGTATCGTCTAAAATAAAAACTAAAAGGTGTTCCCGTGAATAAATGACGAAGTGAAATAAAAATCTCTTTTTATTTTCTCGCGCGTCGCTCTTCACCCCGAGACGATTATGAAAATCGATCGATTTCGAAGTCGTCGAAGGAGAAATAATAGCTTTTGGAAACGTTAACCGTCAGGGAGGGCTAACATTGTCTCGGCTTCTCCTTCGACGTGATAACTGGCAATGAGAACAATTGTCACGGCGTCTTCGTAACCCAACCTTCGTAACCCATATTCATCGGCGAGATTGAGGAAGAGGACGCAAACAACGAGTCGAGAGACTCAATGATCCGTATAGTCAAGAACCGCCTCTTCATCGTTGTTTCGCTCGTTCTCATTAATTTCTTTTCGTAGTAACACGCGAAGCCGCCTCGTCTCGATAAACAATTCCCCGTACTGCGCGACCCATTATGTGGGGCGGCAACAATAGCCTCGGTAATAACCCGTACGAACGTGAACCGTACGCTACAAGGTGCACGTTGCTGCATTTGCATTATAAACTCGCCGGTATAGGACATTAGCTCCACGAGCGCGTGAAATTATTATCGAAGTACGACGAAATTATCGTTCGATAAAAAGTACCATCGCTCGTTATCGCCTGTGTGCCATCGTTATTCGCGTGATTTTTTAATCAAAGAAGAATCGCGAAAAAATTGCTCGCGCTGCAATATCGAGAGTAATAGAAACAAAGAAGGTAAGAGAAAGAAGAGAGAGAGAGAGGGAGAGATAGAAGGAAAGAGAATGAATCGCGTCCGCGTTAAATGCCGTCGGAAATTTTCGATCGCTGTCGAGTTGATTGGCACTCGCGCGTCAGATTACTTTTCGCCCTGACGACGCCGAATAATTAAACGACTGATTTTCATGCGCAGCACGATGCCCTCCGATAGCATGGACGATATCGAGCTGAAGAACATTCAGCTGCAATTTCCGGCACTGAGATACCTCTCTAGGGACGACGGCTCCGTGCGGGAAGAAAAGGTGGAGACCGACAAGGGAAGTTTGCTGGTGGCGGTGCAAGGAAATCGAGCGAAACCAGCTATCCTCACTTATCACGATCTAGGCCTTAATTGTGAGTGATTTCGAATAAAAACGCTCGGAATGTCATTTCGAGTGCCGTCGGGAACGAATGGCAGAGAACAGCGAGAAAACAAAGTCTGACGAGTTTCATCGCGCATATTTTGCCCTTTTGTTCGTTCAATGCCGCGCATTGAGCACTGATTACACAATTTACATGATGATTCCAGTTCACACATTTTACCGTATTGAATTCGATTCCAATTTACGGTCTATTCCGCGTATTCAGTTTCTAATTTCAGTTTGTTCGCGGATTTAAACGGTCCGATTTCCAATGAAGAGGCGCTATCGCACGGCTGATATTTGTATAGGAGATTATCCGGGATTTAATAACATCTGGCATTTCCACTGAAAAAATACCATTATTTTTCCAGACATCTCGAGCTTCCAGGCATTCTTCAATTACATCGACATGCGTGTTCTACTCGAAAATTTCTGCGTGTACCACGTAAACGCACCCGGACAAGAGGAGGGCGCACCGACGCTACCCGAGGAGTGAGTTGATTTTTTTTCACATGATGAAACTTTCAAAACATCACAGTTATCGTAACATAATTATCCGTCGGGAGTAAAACGTCGAGTCTTTGAGATTAGGTTCAACGTTGGATAATGTGAAAAGAATGAGGAAGCAGTCGCTTGAGTCACATCCAGAACTAAAACGAAAACTCTCTCATTTGTCTTATTAAGATCTCGTTAAAGAGCAAACTAATTAGGACATGAGGATGAACTCAATGTATGTTTATGAGTAGAGTGGGCTTATGTGCTTCTGATAAAGCTTCGATCTCGTCTAGATGTGCGATAGTGCACATCCTTTTATGACAGCCGGATTCAATTAGCGCGAATCAATGACCTAATTAACGTCTCAATCAAATTCAATCCAATTCCGTAGACAGCTTGTCCGCTCTCGTTCATCATTCTCGCGCATAAGCGCGAGCCATGCGAAAGAGAGATATTTTTATTATATCGCACACTCGCCACGGCGAGTGCTCATCGTATTCGTGTAATATCGCCAGCTGAGTGCACTAGTACGGGTTTGAGCTTATCGATTGTTATATAATTCGTTTCTCCGATCTTATTATGCTAAGAGAATGAAACCAAGATATCACAGATAGAAGTGAGACATACGCGTATTTTCTTCTTTTCCTCGCGACGGCAACGTCTCGCGGTATAATTATCGTATTTTTAAAATCGCACGAAATAATCACAACGAAACCCATCGAAGACAGAAGAATCGATCTTTTTACGTTTTTGCGATAATAATAAATAAGATTCACAAGTTTTGGAAATAAATCACGGTTAGCGCAATATAGACCGCCAGAGGCCTTGGCGGAAGATTTCACCGCGTCGTCATATTTGAGAATTATTCTCTTACCGTGCTTAATTACGCCGACCTCAAACGACCAAGGCTTACCACGGGGAGACGCACATTTAACTAAGCGCCGCGTTACAAAATAATTTAGGCCGCAATGCAGATTTGTATGCGGAGGTTGTCAGTTGGTCTTCGCTCGCGTGCCAAATCCTGCCAAAGGCCGCGCGAGCTTCGGATATCGATACATCAGTCCCGGACTTCATGCTGTTTACGGACATATATATTTACGTATATATATAATATTCGTCTTTCTCAAAACGACGATTACATGATACAATTGATGATATGTTGTATTATTAATGAAAATCAATCCTATCCGGGATTCTACTGACGGTGTTAATGACAAATATCGCGGCCAAATTTGCATTGTTCGCCGGGCGCGTGCGCGAGAATAAATATCGTCGCGTTATCAGCAACACGAAATCTGCTCGCATTAGTGTCAGGGGGAAAATAACGAGCGGATTTCGCTGGAAATTAAAAATTAAAAATTATAAATCGCGGATTCCACAGCGCCTTTTAATATTCGTTTAAAATCCCGGTTAATATTACTTATCGCGTTATAATTCCCTGCGAGCGGAAAAGTGTATTGAAAAATCATAGACTCGTTAGGAAGACTCAGTCTGATATGTTTTCAACGGCGCCCGCTGGAAGACTCAGTTTACAATGCAGATAGCGACTTTACGAGCGGCTTAGGCGCCGATTGAATTTATATAGGAGCAACGCCGTCGTCGAGGCATTGCCGATAACGAAAAGGTTATTTTAAAAGGACAACTTTTCGCTCCGTTTCAGCTATACCTATCCGTCCATGGAGGAGCTCGCGGAACAGCTGCTCTTCATTCTCGGCCACTTTGGCATCAAGTCCGTAATTGGTTTCGGAGTCGGTGCCGGAGCCAACATCCTGGCGCGATTCGCGCTCGCCCATCCGGAGAAAGTTAATGCACTGTGCCTGATAAACTGCGTGTCCACGCAGGCGGGATGGATCGAGTGGGGTTACCAAAAGTTAAACGTGCGCCACCTGAGGTCGCAGGGCATGACCCAGGGCGTTCTCGATTATCTGATGTGGCATCATTTCGGCAGGGTGAGTACACAGGTCACGCTTGAGGCCTATGATTTCGTGACGAGCGACGTCAGCCGTCGTGTACAACTAATATACATCCACGGTTGCCAAGTTAAATTACCGTCGCGATATTTTTGCGTGCCACAACGCGGAACACCGCTTTCCGCGCGAATACAATAATAGTCGGCGACGTTCATCTAACTTTGAGTTTACGTTGCAACTTGATTCTCTACGTACACACGCGCTTCGCTGGGAAATGGAGCTACGTCACGTTGGACATTCGATTGTTTAATTATCCGGCTAATATAAACGTCCCACGTCTGTTTTCGAAGACCTTTTACGGGGTATAAGTGGGTTCCGGGCGAGATTATCTCACGTAGCTCATTTCATTGGGTACACTTCACGGAGGTAATAAACCGTCGGGCTCTTATGAGGCACGAAATAATGTCAACCGAGTTAGCGCTCATGCGCGAGCACAAGATGAATTATCGACGACGAGCTTGGGCCTTTTCAAAGGATCCTCGTAATATCTCCTCGGAAAGCCGTGAATCAGACCGATATTTTTATCGCGCCGTTTTACGTCGCGCAGATCGTCGCAGTTCAAAAAGAACTTCTAAGCTTTATAATTAACCCCAATAATTATGTGCAGATAACATTATTAGGTGTGTGAATTAATTTCGGTGCTTTCGCCAGCAAAAATCAGGATTTATTTATCAATGTGAGGTGTGTGATTTTAATTATCGAAATAATCTCCGTTATTACATAGCAACAAAAATTATGTCTTTTGTTCGTTTGTCATTTGAGAGCGTTATCTTAGAGCAAGCCTTCTCGAAATCTTCTCGAAACCTCTAATATCATTTCTCACAAGTTATTTGACTCACTGCGCTTTTGTCAAAAATCGATAAAAAATCATTTTTATAGCTTCAGCAACATTTTTTGCCTGTTGAAATGCAAAAAAACGCAGTGTTGAATATACGCTTTATCGACAGCAATATTGTTTACCACCGTTTTCCGACATTATATTGATCATTCCGCGATATTACCTGGTGTTTTATAAATATATATGAGAGTTTTTAAAAATCACAATTAAGCAGAAATATGTTAAGTTTAAAATGCGTTTTAGATATGGGTACAACTAAAAGCATCAAGTAAAGAGTTAATTTACACGTCTAATAAATTATCTCTCACATACACACAGAATTTGTCCCACTTATGAAATAAAAGTCATTTTTAATTACTTTATTCTAAAACAAGATATCAAATTACGATTTACGTTTATTTGATGGTAATATTATGTAATAATAATATTATATGTATTCAATTCATTATCACAATATTATATAATATATAATAATATATAATAATGTTATAATATTATTTAACAATTATTTGATAATATTACGATTATTTAATAATAATAACATTAATTTCGCGATACGCACGCTGAATCTGGAATATTGTAATCAGAAGGCTAGACAAAAGGCGTCTAGCGTGATGCGTTCCGCGAGATCAAGATTGATCGTGAATTAATGAAGTGGATAATGCTAGTGAGTTGGGTAAGAGCGTGAAAACCGAGCGGCGTCGGTCTCTTTAATATTTCGCGTTCTTTTCGGTTTCGCATCTTTTTGTTTCTCAATTGGGTTTCGCGGGTAGGTTACGTTAGGTCAGGTCTCGCGGGTAGGTTACGTTAGATTAGATTCTGCGCGAAAGCACGAGGGAAAGTAATTTTCAAATAAAGCCGCCGGGCGGACACACCGTGTGGCTCTTTCCTGGCTTCGCCTGGCCGTCATTCCGTTCCGTTGCATTCCCTCCCATCCGACACTAATGATGGGTCTTGCCGGTTGTTTTTACCTCCATTGCGACGCGAAGAAACCGGATCGTGAGCGCCTACGACGTAGACGCTGCGCCGCGGCTGCGAAATCGTCCGATCGGCAGACGTAATGACCGCGGCCTCAAGAACACGATTTACTTTGATTACGGACTCGCGTGCTATCGCGAGATCAGATGCCGGCGCGCTTGTCATTTCAGCGAGGTGGACGGCGCGGCGATTATTCCGAGTTCAAACGCCGCGTGTGCAAATCGGCGCGCGAATTATTTCGTTGAGTATTCGCGTATATGACGCTGAATGAATATTTGGAATTGCGGGCGGCGCAACTTCGCTCGAATTGATTCGCTCATTAAAATCGAGGTATTCTCTTCGAGCAGGGGACCGAGGAGCGGAATCACGATCTGGTTCAGGTGTACAAGAATTACTTCGAGCGTCGCGTGAACCCGACGAATCTCGCGTTGTTCATCGATAGTTACGTACGTCGCACGGATCTGAACATCACGAGGGAGTTGGACCCGACGCGCAAGAAGGAGGGCCTGACGCTTAGCGTGCCGGTGATGAACATCACCGGTGCTCTAAGCCCCCACGTCGACGATACCGTAACGTTAAACGGACGCTTAGATCCGACGAACAGCTCCTGGATGAAGGTAAGTCTCTTCGTAACGTGACGTTTCATTAAACGGCGGCCGGCCGAGATACGCTGATATTTTTCGAGATGACTATCGTAACGCCGAAGGAAGTTAAGTCGCGGAAATGCGCGGGCGAGAAATAATTCCTCTTCGAGGCGAAGATCGCGCAAGATAAACGAGAGATTTTAATTACACGTCTCATAATTGCATCCTGTCTTGCAGATATCGGATTGCGGCATGGTGTTGGAAGAACAACCCGGTAAAGTGAGCGAGGCGTTCCGGCTGTTCCTGCAGGGCGAGGGATACGGTAAGTGAGCGTTTTCGCGAAGCATGTTCTAGAGATTAATTAATCACCGAACTATCGATTGACAATTCTCACTGACCTTCATTGGTGTAAGCAATTCGCGCACGCGTCGTCGGTCGTTTCGTAAGGAAATATCTCGCGATCGCCTGCAAGCGGAAGTGCGAGACACGTCGGTAATTACTGCCAACCATCTAGGACAGACTCGCGTCAGGATGTCGTAAAAGCTTTCAGTAGGAACGGAAGTGTGAGCGAGATATATATATATATATATATATATATATTCCCCGAAAACAAGAACCAAACAACTTCCAGCGCGTTGCAGGCGGACGCGCAATTTTTCGCACGACTAAACGTCGAAACAGACAAGCGGAAGACTTTGATCGCGATCATTTCTAGCGTTAAGTTCGCTCTACCGATTGGTGTGTCGTATCGCTATCGATTGAATTTGGCCTACTGAATCTTTAGATGAGACATCGGTTGTCCCCGCACGACCACATTCCCTTTCAACGATAGATGCTATACGAATAGTTCGTACTCTTTTTCGAACGAGAAGAAAGTAGAAGGGTAGAAAGGTATCATGGATTTGATAATTCTTAGATAGGAGATCGTGGAAATTAACTAGCGGTGAGCTACGAGGTTTTGACGACGGGTATCTAAGATACACCTATTTGATCGTTCGTTGTAATTCATGATTCTTCGAATTCGAACAGTCGAGTTCGGACGAGACAAAGTCATGCTTGTAAATTTCGATCGGATCGTTCGTGTAATCTAACATTAGTTTTGATAATATTATTAGAAAATTGAACGGTAACGTGCATTCGCGTAATATCTAAATGCATGTTTTCTCGAAGTAAATGTATATTAAACCAAGACTTTGTAAAATAGTTATCGTTACAAGTTAACGTATCTAGAATTTTAAGATGCCAAGACTCTGTTCTTTTATAGTAATGTTGCACGTGTTGTTTTACGTTACGGAGCGTAATTTCACGCTGTGAGAACTATTGTGCTTACATAATTACGAGAGAAACGTTGTAGAGACACGTCTACTCGTGTATAAATTAACAATGAAATAACGCTCCCTTTCGTCGTGAATCAGGTTTATTACTTTGTTGTCGGCTTCTTAATCACAAGAACACTATAGAACCGATCATTGAACACCATGCTTTCTCACGAGTCAGTATAAATGGTACCTAGTAAAATCTGGTCAAATATAATTACGCAAATTAATTTCATGTCATGTTTTTCGTTCTTTACTTTCGACTCGCTTTTATCCACCAATCAGTACAAAAGTCGTGTCATTTCTCATAACGAGTGATCACGAATGACATTCAAGCACGAAAAATTTCACGACCGAGTGGGTCGTCGCGCCGGATAGATTTGTCGTTTCTATCGCACATCTCGTCATCGTTGTTAACTATTGTTGTTGCGATCGTCGAATTCCACTATTATATTATAGCAAAATCTCCATGTTGTACGAGTGGCGCGATTCTTAAACGTCACTGAATCCGGGTGTAACAGGACTGATGTCGCGTATATAATACTTCATTTATCGCGATCAGCGCTGATGTACTACTACGACAAGATTCGTTAAATAAGTCGCTTTATCTCTGTGCTAACGAACGGCGAGAGTCGCCTGATTACACCGAGATTCAAAATATTCGAGCATGTATCTCTGTTCGTTAAGAAGCCACTGGTTCGACTTGATAAATAAAAGATGATTCTGAAAAGGGCAATTGCATTGAGTTCGTCCATGAATCTCGTCGTCATACCGAGTTAGAAAAAATAAAAGAGAGAGAGAGAGAGAGAGGAAGAGAGAAAGAAAGAAATAAGGCAAATAAGAGAAAAAAATATTAAACATGTTCATCGACTTGCGCCTTTATTTCCCACGCGTCTTGGATCGATCGAGTGGTATGTATATATTACAACAATCTCAGCTGAACCGTAGCATAATTAATTTCAGCTTGTTTGCTATTTCTTTTTGGTTGTTTTCGAAACAGTTCCAAACGCTAAGGACCGCGCTGAAGTCGTTACGCTTGTAAAATAAGATATCATACACTCGAAATAAATTAATGAAAGTACCCTACGATCGTCTGTTGTCTAGAAACGATTTATTAGATTTATCTCGTGATATAACATGATTAATGTTAACGTAGAATTACATTTCATACGGCAAGAAATAATTCGAAAGAATATAGCGGAATAAAATTACTTAGGTTGTTAAATGTTTATTGAAAATTAATTATGTAGAACGACGGTATATTAATTAGTTTGATCGTTCGTGAATTGATGAATATGATGAAACAATAAGTTCAGTTTTTTCGAGTTGAGAAATATAATGATAATATGATAAAAATATAATAAACATTTCCACTCGGCATCGATATTATGGATCTGAGTCGAAAAACAACGGACACTTTGTCACGGCAAACAAAATTTTGGAGCAGTACTTTAAACAAATAGATTGCTGCACCGCTATCTCTTGCTGCAATCCACTCGTAACTTCGAAGGAAAAAAAAAATAGATGAAAAAAATAATTGGCCTATCAATGTTTCGCACTAGCAACGCTTTAGAAGATAGCAATAGCGAATTCAGTGCGCCACACTGCCACGTTTATGTTTATGATCTTTAAATGGAATTTGTTTTCTTATGCGTTTTAGTGGTGAGATCCCCGCGGAAGCCCGTGAAGCCGACAACACCCGAAGGTAATTGTAATTAGGAATTGAAGGCCGCAAGGAGAGTCGAGCGCGCAGTTGGTCAATTAGGCCACGTCTATGCGTTAAGTAAGTCGGAATTCAAACTTTTTTCGGAAGGTATGAGACGTACTAACTGAGAAAAAGTCCTGGAAAATCTCGGATTGCCGAGATTCTGAAAAAAAATGAAAGAAAGGACAAGAAAAGAGAAAGAAACTAACTTTGACTAACCACCCTGACCCTGAATTTTCTGCACTGACCTCGTCTGCTACGATGATGACGACAGAAAGCCTATAACAACTTTCGTCTCGTGAAACTTTTCCACACATATTTGTGCGAGTCTCATCTCATTCCTGTATATTTAATTTCACCCCTGCGTACAATTTTTCCGTGTCCGTTCTGTTCCACGAAGTCTGACGATAAAGGTGCGACTAAAGAATTTCAGACGATGAAAGAGAAAAAAAAGATGATCGAATACGCGATGAACGATAAAAATGACCGGTGAAGTGATTCATGATGAATCGGTCTTATCCACTGAGTTCTTCTGTTTCATAGTTCTCGGTAGTCGGTAGTCGACATATCCGTTCGCAATATTAACAGGGACCGACCTGTTGCGCTACCCTCCGATACAGGTGATCCAAATTATCCACTTTACGTAAATAAGCGAGAGACTGATTTTACAACAGCACATACTCACACACACGTACACACCCTCATGTCGGAACATCGTGAAACGTCAGTTCCTCGGAACAATGACCGAACAATGAAGAACAAGAGCAATCTCGCACCTGGGCAATATATAGAGTAGTGTACCAATCTCCATGCTAAAAACCCACAGCGCCTCGTTATGCGCACACAACAGTCCACCAACCAACAGTACACCAGAGATTTCTTCTTTTATTTTGCATGTACGCTTTTCTTTCCGTTCTGGATCCTTCGTTCGGAGAACGATTTTTTTTACGTTCGCGTAACAAAACTCGAGCGAACGAACGGAACTTAACCACACGCGTTACCACAGCCTCCTCAAGGCGAGGTTGACGACGGCAGATTGACGAAGCCCCGAGATTGTGCCAACTTTCCTCTATTTCTTCTTTTCGTTTACAGTGGCCCCGCTGTCGCCGTTAAAGATGGCCGACTTCAGATTGGCTTCGTTGGAGGGACTGAATCACGTCTGCAGCAAGAAGATCGACTGGCCTACCGCGACCATACACATCACGGAGAATCCGATATCGGAGGCAGTAGTTTGTTAAGATGTCGATCGCCGAACCTCACACCTCCACCGCCATCGATTTTCGTTATGCAATCAAACGAGCATACAATCGCAAGACGACGCAGCGACTTGGATGTCGGTAGCTTTAGGAAGGTTTCGTCGGGGCAACGATCCCTCGCGGCACTAATAAACGCGCCTGGTTTCTTTCCGGAGCTTCTGTCGGCACCGCACTTACTTTTTAAATCGCGACTTTCGAGCTGGGTCGACCACACGCGTTCGTAATAAGTGTTTAATTCTAAATAACTATAAGTTAAGAGCTTTAAAGACGGTTTTTATTACTTAAGAGATATCGCGGATGTTTTATCAACGGTTGTTCTTGGTACGCGTGTTGTTATTATAGGAGCGACGTCGATTCGCTAAGGATACATAAGAGAATAATGTTAACGTTACGTACGATCGGACGACCGCGTTCAGTTGCAACCCGTTCCACTTTCGGGACTTTTAACGAACGGTGCGACACGGTTTTTTGAGAGCACCGTTCGCTCTTTTTACATCACGATGGAACAACTTTTGCAATCGTTTTAGCGGGTGTTCACGATTGTCGTTTAAGAGACGTTTATTTGAATGGCAGACGGGTATTTCTTAAAGTTTCGATGATTCAAACGAACATTCTCCTGCGAATATTTTAATATGCCATCATCCGAAGAGAGATTTGAGGGATGTGCGGGTAAAAATGTTCAACACTTCGAGGTGTACTTCTATATATGTGGGTACATGTAAAAGCCGTGACTTTGTAATGTTAAAAATCGACAGGCCCATGATTACGAATTTTCGTACAAATATGTAACACGATAATAACGTTCACGAAAAGCAAGAGAGGAGGAGCTCCTCCGATCTGATTAAGGGAAATTCGCGTGCAAATGCTTCGTGTAAATTTCGAGAAAAAAAAAGAAATCCACACTAACGGTAATTCTATAGAAATATCGAGGAAGAAATAAGTCACGTAGTCGCAGAACGACGAGAAAATGTGTGATAACACGTCGAAGGGAAACGCGCATCTCCGCTTTTCGTGCTCGTAAGAAACCAGAAAAGACTCACTGTAGATGTAAAGGACCCGGCAGAAACTTTTAACGGCTCGCACACAACTTCTCGCCAAACGACGTCCAAAAAGTTCCATCGCACGGTGTAACACGTGGTAGTAATATAGTCTCACTGTTTTACGAATTTTTTATTATTATGCGAAGAAAAAAAACTTTTACTTCCCAACGAAGTTGTCGTCAACGAAGATTATAATTCACGAGCTACGAGGACGAACATTTTTTTTTTAATTCGTAATACATTGCGACGTTAACGAAGAGAAATAGTGAGAATCGTTGAGCACGTCGTTAGATTTTTCTGCTTCGTCTTTCGCGTCTATTCCGATTCGTGAACAATCGACCAGTCCCGAGTTAACGCAAAGCTCGCCACGTATAATCGCGATCATTTTGTTTCTCGCTAACTTACATGGTCCGACGTTATCCAAAATGTTTCACGATTTCGAGATAACGTTGAAACGCGGTAGTGAAGCATTAGTGTCGATATAAACAATTACGAGGTAGGTATTACTGTTACTGTTGATAGTCAGGTATCCTCGATGAGTTCGTTCAAACAACTTACAATTTAACGGCGAAATCAACAGAGTTTAAAACGAATGATCGATCGTGTCCTTTCAACGATCATAAGATTTCACGATTCGCGAGAGAGAGAGAGAAAGAGAGAGAGAAAGAGAGACGGCAGCTTAGCAATATGAGATTCAGTGTCCCGGTCACGGATATCATCCCTGAAGAGGGAGAATGACAACCTATAATTCCCGTCCCCTTATAAACGAGCTGGGAATCCGTGCGTTCATTTATCCTCACGCACCGTTCGCACCCTTTCCTTAATTAATAAGAAAAGAGACTGCCCGTATAAACGAGAAGGAAAGAGAGCGCGTGCGGGAATGCTAATGCGTAAGAATGGCGTGGAAGAAAAAGGTAGAAATGGGGATACGTAATTAGTTGTTACAAGAATAAGAAATAAGGAAGAAGTAAAGGATACACAACAAATGTCGAGAGAGTTCGGTGTTTCCGTACGGTTTTACCGGGCCTGTTCGAGCCTTTAGCGTGATATGATAAGACGTGCCTGCTATACGATGTCGTACGTAGCTTTCGAAAGTTTCACCGCTTTTTAGTTTTCTATATACATATATTATGATTCTCTCTCGCGCGGTGTCCCCCCAGAAATTCCCCACTTTTCGCGCGTCTTCTCTCGAAGCATCGCATACTCACGACGATCGGCACATCGACATATCTTTCTCTAAATCAACTTTAATCACGGTGAGATGGAATTGATCGAACGTCTGTAATGCACTACGACTGCATTTTGAATTGAGAATTTGTTAAATAAACGACAAAAAGAAAACGATAATATTGATAAATTGTCGGGTCGCACACGACGTCGCATCAAACGAATTCCCTTGAAGATAAGATCTGAAAATTCGCCAATTCGAGATGTTTATATTAAGTATTTATATTAAGTATTGATCGCGTATAATGTGAATATCGCGGCAATAGATTACGGACCTGTATTCTCCTCTTCTTATTTCGGAGCAGATGACAGATGATGAAAAAGATGCGCGAGAACGAAAAAGGAAGTCGAAACATCGCGGACATCTCGAGGGACAGGAAGTATAGCCGTTTCGTGTAAAAGAGAGTTTATATATAAGAACATATAATAAATATATAAATATACTTCGCGTATTAAATTTAGATTATCGCAGAGATGGAGGCAGAATGATAGTCGAGTGCGTAGTGTTAAAATAACGGGGCTCGATATGAGACGAGATTAAGAGGACTGCACGCATTAATCGTTGCTAACGCGAACGCTAATAACGGATAATGTAGCTTTTAAGGACTACCGATGCTCCGCCGTTAACCCCTTCGTTTCCGGACAGAAAAAATTTTTCCGCGGACACTTGGAGATCATTGGCGCGAATTATCTGGGCGCTCAACGACAACGAATTTGTTGAATCTGCACATCGACGTATCGTATATTTAATTAGACATATCGGCCGAGTCCAATACGCGATATCATCAAATTGTTCGTCGACTGATCGGTCTTAATCCTGAAGATTCGCCCACGTTACTCGCGAGACGCATATCAATCGATTTTTAAGCGATTTTTCGACAGCAAAAGGGATCTACCGGATTTGTATGTTGCATTTTAATTGGCACGTCAACAACGAAGAGAATCGCTCGAAAAATGAGGAGCGCGACAATGCCGCTGGTCTCGAAGGGTTTAAACGATTCATCCGGCATACGATCGAGAGCGGATCGATTTTCAGCATCCACTTCTACCTCGCGCGAGGATAACACGATTTTCCTGCGCCGCATCGACGCGCAAAGCTCGTCCTCGAATGAAATTTCTAATTTTCCACGCGGCATCGCGGAACAGATTGTAGCAAAGTGTATTAACCACTCAGCATAAATGAGACATAGTACAGTAAGCGAAGTAAACTTAGCGCTGGAGCTTGAAAATACACACATACATATATATATATATATAAATATATAAATATAAATATAAATATATTATACATATTAAAAATGACACGTGCGCACCGAACATGCATCTTGTTATTTATAATAAACGGATACGAGAAAAGAAATAATGTGATCGTGTTCAACACTCTTTCCCCTTTGTCTCCCTTTAACTCAATATTATATTTCAAAAAAGAAATGGAAGTAATCTGTTTTCAAGTATAAAGTGAAGTAACCCCTATCATAACGAAAGTTAATTAAAATCGACAATTTTAATTATTTTAGTTAGTAAAATATATAGTTGAAAAAACTGCTTTTTCAATTTTTGCTCAGAAAGAAACCAAAAAAAAAACCGCGGAGAAATTGGAAAAACTCGTTTTCCCAAGTTTTTCAAACTATGAGATTTCAATTTTGTGGGCAATGTGATTTTTTCAGAAAAGGTAATTTCGAATAAAAAATTTAAAAATAGATTTGAAAGAACGGTTGAATATTAATATAACATTAATATAAAAATATCAATAGATTTTGTTCGGCTTCGTTGAAACGTAATATATTTCGACAATTCAAATAACGGCAAATAAATAACTCGTTTGACGTGTATGCCTTGACCACCTCCTACCATTCATCACGATCCATCCGTCATGAGACTCGCACATTTGGTCTTTCTAAGTGCGCGAAAAAAGCGCCCGAAGGCGAGGTGGGCTCTCGCATCCCGCCTGAGAGAAGCTTGTCGCTTCGGGGAGATCCAGAATACGCGAATACGAGATCCATGATTTGAAAAGGGAGGAAAAGGAATTAACGGAGTGCGCGCGATGAAGACATCTGCATTTTTATGAAGACCGTTATTAACTCCCGGGACGCGCTCGCGAGTGCTTCGTTGGCGCTTCGTTAAGAATCAGGGAACCGGCTTAATTAAAACGTCTTCGCCGTCGCGATGAAGTCACCTAGAACCTCGGGATAGCGTGACGTTTTGATTCGCTCGTCGACAGTACGGAAAATATTAGATGCCGTTTTTACCGGGAACAGCCCGAAATGGTCGCGATTACAAGAGCAACATTGTTTCAGTCGGATGATGCGCGACTTGAAACAAAGCCGGTTCGTCGGTTATTATCTCACGAGAATGCCGGAAGGCGATATAACGCATGTGCAAAATGTTCTCTCTGTCCAGCTGCTCGATTATTTTAGCACGGATACGAAAAGTCCGATAGATTTATTGGAAGCACATGCGACTTGGATTTCAATTGTGCCGCGATAATGCAACGCGCCATAAATCTCCGCTCGTTTGCTTTGACGGACCATAATAGATCATGGCGAAGCGTTTCCTATTGAGAACACTTTGCGGAATTATGATGCTCCATAAATAGCTCTCGACGTGGCGATCGCTTTTGCGAAAGAACGCCGATAGCTTGGTAAAATTATAAGAGATAACATCGCACGAGTGAATTAATTACGGGGAAACTTTTACGTCAAATAACGTCGCAAAAATTCCGCTCGTCGCGGCCATTGTCGTCGTCCTTTTGCGAGATTGCAAATTGCTCTTACTGCGAACGATAGGAGAGGTACGTAAGTAGACTTCTCGATCGGACTAAAAACGAGGAGGTATTGCGACGAGGATCTTCCGCGGGAAACGACAGGATACGTCGCGCGACATTTATACCGCTCGTCCCTCATTCGCTGTCTTTCGCGGTTTTCTTCTCAGGTACGCGATCACACGTATGTATCACACTCGTGCACACCGTACGTGCGTGCATCGGCGACAAGAAACCAGTCTTCCCAACGATTTTTGCAACGACGAAACGACTAACGTCTTCGCGGAATCGACAGGGCCGTACATGCACATCCGCTCTTTTCCAGTGAGAAATAATTGACCGCATATTCTATTTGACTCTTTTCGCTCGTGGTTATTAAATATCGGTTACCAAAACATTTCACACCACCTCCGAGTTTTCTTGTTAGACACTCTCAAACGATGTCGATCACATTGGCGAAGACAAGTAAACCGTATAGTTATCGTTACTAACCCATGTAGAACAGACTGCAAGGGATGTCTCAAAGACATCCAGAGGGCGACTACATCCTGAGGACATTCATAGTACTTTGGGTAAAGTGCGCTGTGTGAGAAATTCATTATATTAATGCGTGTTGTCCCTATCACGTTGCAAACGGAATATAAAAGTATCGTGAATATGTGTGCCGCATTACCGGTTTACGGGCGATCGGCAATTAAAATTTCAATAAAACACTTACGCATTCCAACTTCTTGCTAACTGCTCCTGGAACTGCTTGTTTGAACTGCTCTCCGCGTACCCACCGCAAGTAATAGATGTATAAACTCCGTGACGCATAGCAGAAACGTCAAGTCTTGACCGTTCAGTTCATAATTCGAACAGTTGAGGCACAATAATAGGCAGCCCTACGATAACGTTAACGAATGTAAAAAGCCATAACATAACCATACTGAAAAAGATAAACAGGCAACGGCAACCTGCCGGCTGTCTTGGCATGCTTCGGCGATCTTCGGCGAGTCTCGTGAGTCTTCGGGCGTGCCCGCCAGCTGGCTGTGCGCGGTTCTCCTTTGATCGGGCGCGCGTATTCTTGAAGCGACCGGCGTAGGAGTGGGTTCGTGTGCGCGGTAGACGTCGGCCGAGGGTGGCCGTTCGAAACACCTAAGCATCCGTGCAGATTTCACGTCGCGCGTCACGTTCTCCGCGTTTTTTCAGTTTAGTCGGTGACGCGAGTGTGTTCGCTCTTTCGGCGAACGGTGCTCCGAGAGAGCTGTCATGTCAAAATCGTCAACGTCTTTCGGCTAGTTTACGCCATCCTGAAAACAAATCTCTCTTTCGCACGCCGCTTCGTGTGCTTCGTGAGACGGCGGGACTCGCACGACGGAGATTTCAATCGGAATCGTGGATCTCGGTCGGAACGAGCGTGGATTCACGAGGACTCGACCGCGATGCACCGGTTGTGACACGGAATCGAAACCTCCCGAGCGTTTCACGAACAGGTAGAAACAGGAATTTGAGGAACGTGCCGGCGCAACGTTCTCGAGCGTGAAGTTATCGTCGCGTCGTGCGCTCTCGCCCGATGTGAAACTGGCGCGCGTCATCAGGAAGACGCCAACTTCGAAGAGTGGCATTTCGCGCGTTGTTGAGCGATCACGAGTGTGCGCTAGTGGTGCAGTGGATATGCCTTGCTAGTTGTGAGGGTGCCCGGAGTTTCCTCGTTCTTCGCGTTGGATCACGAGGACGCATCATGAGGCTGGCCAGGATCGCTGGGATTTACGTGCTCTTCATGGTGGTGTGCGCCGATCGAGCGGACGTCATCGAAGAACGAGGTATGTGCGCATTGTTTGTGTTATCATTGGCTGTACCCTTGACAGTCTTGCCGCCGACCTTGCGATACTCGTAACTCTCGGAGAGCGAAGTTCACAGGTGTGCGTTGATCTTTACATTTTCCGCGCCGATGATATCGCGTTATTTCGAGATAAGAGATAATCAACAGGTGTCTCGAGGTTAGGTTAGGTTAGTGGCCCGCTCTTCTTACCCGAACTGGCTGCACTAGTTCAAGAAATTTACACACACGTTGAAGCGTACGAAGCGCACGTACGAGATTCTCACGCTTCAGTGTGCGTAAATTTCCTCAACTGGTGTAGCCAGTTGAGCTAAAAAGAGCAGGCTATAGCTTTCGCGACGGAACGTCCGCAAGACGGCTTGTTTACGTATCGATTTATGTGTCATTAATTTTTATCACCGGGGGGGTGAACATTCCTTCATGTCAAGATAATTCGCGTAGAACTGTGATCTATCGTTATGTTTATGCCGCTGTTACGCGCTTAAGCGCGATTCATGAATTTTGCGAATCATGAATTTGCTAATAACGCGGTTGTTATCGTTACTTTTTAAATTGCGTGAGTTCGAACGCGCGCGATTCGAATTCAGTAGATTCCTTTATTCACCTAGCAAATTTCAACTGTTCCGCTCAGCTGGACGAACATTTCAGTTACGCAAACTTCGGCGCTTTTATGAATCGCGCTTTCTCGACTCCACTCTCGATTCAATGCTCGTTGAATACATGTCCCGTTCCCAAGCTCGCGATTTTTGCAACATGACGTACCGTAATTGCGTACCGCAAAGGAACGTGTACTTGACGGAAAACCGAGTGAAATAAATTCTTTAGTCATTTTCTTCATAATTCATATCGCCACATACAAC